GGCCGGAAAGATAAGGCCGTTTGGCCCGGTCAGAGGGTGAGAAGCTGGACGTTTATGAAGGAGGCATTTGTTGAGTTTGTAGATGGAGTTGTCTTGTTGGTCAAGAGAGTTTAGGAAGGTGTCCCATTGGTCAGTTTTGTGAGTTAAAAGTAAGGTTCGAATTAGTGCGATTTTGGCGTTCAGTTGGCGTTTAACGGTTGGGTCACGGTTTCTCTGCCACAGACGGCGTAGTTGGTTTTTAACAGTAATTTCTAGTTTTATGTAGTCGGGAAGTAAGAGGGACGAGTTTTTGCGTTTAGGAGTAAATACGCTAGCTTCGATAGCGTTTTGCAGGTTTTTGGTCAGACAATCGACTGCTAGGTCAATTGAATGTTTGTCATTTGTCGGTGGTATGGGAGAGTTAGGTAAGTTGGTAAGGATGGTTTTGTATTTTGTCCAGTTAATGAAGCGGTTAGTAGTAGGAGGAGACGATGAGATCGGAGTACATAGAGTCTCAAGAAGTATAGGGTTATGGTCGGAAGATAGTTCGTTGAGGTTTTCGATTTGGGTCGGGTATGGTAGACGTGCGAGGGCGATGTCGAGTACGTCGGGTCTGTGACGGGCGTAAGTGGGGAAATGTGTGGGGGAAGTGGGGGCAATAACGGAGTAGTCAGAAAGTTGGATGTGATCAAAGAGGACACGGCCGGCTGCGTTTGTCGAGTGGCTGTACCACAGGGGGTGTTTGGCGTTGAAGTCGCCTGCCGATATTTGCCATTCCGCGCTTTGGGTAAGTAAGTCTAAGTCAAGTGTCGAGAGAGTGGCGCCAGGTGGTTTGTATACCGCTGATACAAGTATTTCATGGTTGTTAAGTTTGATAAGGACTGAAGAGGTTTGAATGGTTGTGTTAAGAGTCATAGGTTGGTGGACGATGCGACGGTGAATAAGGACGGCCGTGCCGCCGTGAGGGGGCGAGCCCCGGATGGTCGGTAGGTCGTTCCTGTACGTGAAGTAATTTGGGATGTGAAGATTGGTGGAGGGAGATAGACGAGTTTCGTTAAGTAAGATTATGTCGGTTTTTAGTTGGAGTGCGAGAGCTGTTAGTTCATTAAGTTTGTGTATAATACCGTTGGAGTTCCAAAACAAGATTTTTAAATTATTCATTGGGAGGCGAGAGAATTGTCAGGAATGCTTTTATGGTCGTTTCTATCATTGATTTGGGGTCCTGGTTGGTTGCCAGGGCAGTCAGTAGGTTGGTCAAGAGGTTTAGAATCAGGGACAGATCGATTTGTGGGGCTTGGGGAGTGGGGGAGGGGGGAGCTGCTCCGGCAGTTGCAGTAGCGTAGGACAGGGTGGGCCTAGGTGCAGGTGGGGGAGGTGGTGTTTTTTGAATGGGTAGGGTTTTGTTTGGTTTTGGGATGGTTTGGGCCAGAGTTTGTGGTTTTGGTTGGTTTTGAGCCAGTAAATGGGGGCAGCCACGGAAATTTGCGGTATGTGATCCGCCGCAGTTGCAACATTTTGGGGCCTGTTCGCGGGTTTTTTGGCAGTCGCTTGCCGAGTGGTTTCCTGCACATTTCACACATCTTGGTGGGTGACCGCAGTTTCGTGAGCCGTGACCGAAGCGTTGGCACGAAAAACATTGGGCAGGGCCATTGGGTTTGAGGGGTTCGACGGATATTTGTATGTAGAAAAGGTTGTTTAGCAGAAAAATGTCTTTGGAATTTGTATTTGATGCTATGTGTACAACACACATTGGCATCGGTTTTTCCGGGGTGCCGAAACGGCGGATGAATTTTACGGAGAAACCAAGGGTTTCCAGCTCCCCTTGGACTTCTTCGACCGGGATATCGTTTGGGATGCCCTTCAGAACGACTTTGAGGGAACGTTCTTCAGGGAGCGAAAATGTGTGGAATTCAGTTCCTTTGGACATTAGTGTGCTTTGGATCAGACGGAATTGGGACGAATCAGAAGTTTGGATGGTGACTTGGTTGTTGGAGGACGATTTGGCGGTTAGAGATTTGGGGGCAAGGTTTGGGAGGGCGTAGATCACGGGAGCGATCTTCCGCCAGGAGCCGGAGCTTAGCATGATGGGTGGTGGTCTGGCGGATGTAGGTTTAGTCGGAGTTTGTGGTGAGTTTGGTGCGGAAGTAGGTTGTTTAATTGGGGAGGTGGTATGTTTTAGTGCGGAGGTTGATTGGTTTTGTACGGAGCTAATTGTTTGGTTTGAGACAGAAGTTTGATTTGAATTAGGTACGGAGGTTATGGTTGGTTTAGGTACGGAGTTTGAAGTTTGTTTTATTGGGGAGGGAGATGGGGACGCGCTAGACATTGTTGACGCACTGCAGTCTGAGTAGGACTCGAGGGTTTCTGAGTCTGACGAGTGTGTGGGAGGGCCCGAACGCTGGCGTGCAATTTTCCGGTTTTGGGTGTTTTGAGGGGGTCCACTTCCCTTACGCTTAAGCGGCTTGTTGCGGCCCATGGCGGAAGAGAAGCTTTACTTTTACTGTCGTTCTGAAAAGAGCGTTTTTGTGGAGGTATGTGGGGGGGTAGTTGGTTGGGATGGGGTGGGATGCTGTGGCAATGTGGGGGCGCGGCCCCACAACAGCGAGTTCGGAAGGACGGTTTGATCCGACGCTTTCGCGGCGGCTTACTTGTGGGCGCTGGTGCCCTGTTGGAGAGCGGTGAAAACGGCTGTTGGTGTTGAGTGTTGACTTAAACGTCGCTTCCGCGGCGGTTTGGTGGGCGCTGGTGCCCTGTTGAGAGCGGTGAAAACGGCTGTTGGTGTAGCTGTCGCTTCCGCGGCGGCTTTGGTGGGCGCTGATGCCCTGTTGAGAGTGGTGAAAACGGCTGTTTGGTTACGGTTCGGGTGTGAACCGTGGGCGCTGATGCCCTGTTGAGAGCGGTGAATACGGCTGTTTGAGGAGCTGCTGTTGAAGGCTGGCTGCAAGTTGAGTGGTGTTGGACTTGTTCGGATGTGAACTGAAGTATAACTGATGTGATGATGATGTGATGATGCAGAATCCCGCTTGAAACTTTCGTATATATATAGTAAAAATGTGGATGATGGAAAACTGTGATTGGACAGAGATAACGACACTACGGTACTACGTCACAACGTTTGTTCGACTTTCATTACCAAACGATGTTGTTTTCATTGGGCATAATCATGAAACGTACTTGTGAATAAACTCTTATCTTTAGTTATTGTGGACTAATCGGCGATCCTATTTCCATCGTCATCATTATGGTATTTACACCAATAAACGAACGACATGTCGTTTGGATTTGGTAATATATACCCACCGCTATGACGCAAAAATTATCACTCAGTACTCAACGTTTCAGTCGTCAACAAGTCTAGATACAACTATTCGAAATGGCTCCAGGAGGAAAATCGGCGGGTAAAGCGATGAAGAAGTCGTCCGGCAAGGCACAAAAGAACATCGCCAAGTCCGACAAGAAGCGCAAGCCCAAGAGGAAAGAATCGTACGCAATCTACATCTACAAAGTGCTGAAGCAAGTACACCCCGACACCGGAGTTTCGTCCAAAGCCATGAGCATCATGAACAGCTTCGTCAACGACCTGTTCGAGCGCATCGCCGCCGAATCCAGTCGTCTGGCTCACTACAACAAACGTTCGACCATTACCAGCCGGGAAATCCAAACCGCCGTCCGACTCTTGTTGCCCGGTGAATTGGCCAAGCACGCCGTCAGTGAAGGCACCAAGGCTGTGACCAAGTACACCAGCTCTAAATAATTCACTGGTTCTGAACCGATTATTACTCGACTAAAACGGCCCTTTTCAGGGCCACCAATCACCATTTAATTCTTGTTATTAACGACCATTATTGTCGACTATGAATTCGCCGCATGGTAGTATATTAGAGGAGGGTACGACGGTGTATAGAAAGGGGGGGGGGGCAATAGGACGCTGAGTGATTATCAGTATGAATGAAAGGGAAAAAGCGCTGTCCGGCTGTGTAAGATATATACACCCACCGTGAGTTATCCATTACAATGTTGGCAAAACTTTTCAAAAACCTTCCAACAATGTTCAAATAGACTTGTTGGACCCCCACTTTTTAACTGACCCGCCATACACTTTGTACTGCCAACTTCACATCTGGCATTACAAATTTATAAAAAAAACTTCCAACAATGTTGAAGTTTACTTGTTTGAATCGTTTTAAATTTTTTATTCAATATTCATTTCTTTTTGAAATATCGATTTCCTTTTAAATATAGTCATTCTTTTCAGTGAAGATTTTTTTTATGATTTTTTTAATACGAAACCAATTTCCCGTCGCAATCGGTTAAGACTTTTTTACCAGATTGTCGACCAAATATACATTTTTTTCTTCAAATATACATTTTTTTAGGTTTTTTAAAGGATTTAGATTTTTTTATTGAACATACATTTCTTTCATAAAACAGATTTTTTTAATCAAATATACATTTTTATTAGGTTTTTTTAATAGATTTCTTCAATTTAGATTATTTTCATTGAATATAAATTTCACTTCTTTACGGATAGATTTTTTGTTATGGCAGCGTCGCGGCAATTTCCCGGCGCCATCGGTTAAGACCTTTTTTTTTTTTTATCAGATTTGTTTTCTGAACATAGATTTCTCTCAAATATATAGATTTTTATTTTTATTTTTAGGTTTTTATTGTGTTTAAGATTTCTGTCATTAAATACTGATTTTTATTATACACCGGAAGGTCAATAAAAAAAGCAATTCGAATAATACTAAAATATCCAATTACATAAGGAAACAGCATCGCAGTAGTAATACGAAAGCAATTTCCCGGCGGTTGAACTTTTTTACAAGAATTTTTTTTTTACTGTGATTAAAATATCTTTCATTTAGTTGACGAAGAGTGATGTGATATCTATTTATATTAGTTTGCTAAATACAATCGTCATCCATCCAACAGGGATTCGTTTTATATCCAGAATATGCATTCATTTTGGTGGCCCTGAAAAGGGCCTTTTTAAGGTATAATCACTAATGATGAACAAGTTAAGCACGTTCACCGCGGATACGACGGGCCAATTGGATGTCCTTTGGCATGATTGTGACACGCTTGGCGTGGATTGCGCAAAGATTGGTGTCTTCGAACAGACCCACCAAGTATGCCTCGCTGGCTTCTTGCAACGCCATGACGGCGGAGCTCTGGAAACGCAGGTCGGTCTTGAAGTCCTGAGCGATCTCGCGCACTAGACGTTGGAACGGCAATTTACGGATCAAAAGTTCTGTGCTCTTCTGATAACGACGGATTTCACGGAGAGCAACGGTTCCCGGGCGGTAACGATGTGGTTTCTTTCACTCCTCCGGTGGCGGGTGCGCTCTTACGTGCGGCTTTGGTGGCCAACTGCTTCCTGGGAGCCTTTCCACCGGTGGATTTACGAGCTGTCTGCTTGGTACGTGCCATTGCGCTGCTGTGTTAAGATTATTCTAAGTTGGACTGCAAAACGTGGCTGTTGAACGAATGATGTTGTTCGGCACGCAGTCGACCGGTATATATACGTAAATCGGAACCGTATGGGTCGTCCTCATTGGTCGATGTTTAACGGTTAGAATTTTAGTGGTGGCGGGCCGGGGGGATAACCGGTCATGGTTCCGATTGGTGGTTCGGCTTCGAGAGAAACGGTTAAAAGGGACTGCGACCTGAGGAAAAGTATCAGTCAACGTTCAGTTCACATCCGAACAATGTATCCACACACCGCTCCAAACAACATTCAAAATGACAGGACGAGGCAAAGGAGGAAAAGGTCTGGGAAAAGGAGGCGCGAAACGTCATCGTAAAGTGCTCCGTGATAACATCCAGGGAATCACCAAGCCCGCCATCCGTCGGTTGGCCCGCCGAGGCGGTGTCAAACGTATTTCCGGTTTGATCTACGAAGAGACCCGTGGAGTTCTGAAGGTTTTCTTAGAAAACGTGATCCGTGACGCAGTCACATACACCGAGCACGCCAAGAGGAAGACCGTCACCGCCATGGACGTCGTGTACGCTCTCAAACGTCAAGGCCGTACTCTGTACGGTTTCGGAGGTTAAAGACATACTTCTGAAGTTTTTAAAATAATCCTAAAAAGGCCCTTTTCAGGGCCACCATATTACAATAATTAACGTTGTTTATAACCCCCGAAGTAAAAGGAGGAGCCCACTTCGAATTCCTAACCAACACGGAACTAGTCCGTTGCAAACTATTCGCTGGTGACAACGATAATATTGACTTTTTGTTCAAGAAAACAACACTCAGTTTGTTCACCACGAAATGAAAACACGCAGAATATTTAACCATCATGTCCCCGTTGAACGATGATATTATGAAGCTCTATCTTTGGCCTCACCTGTCATAACATTAAATCATAAATACTGCAAACCGAGTAGTAATAGACGTTCCAAATATAATTATATTTATATTATTCTAAAGCTCAATGTGCAGTAATCATTTTAATATGGTTGTACTTGAATCGTTTTTAAATTAAATAACTTGAAATTAACACAGAACACTCAGAATTAAATATTATTTTAGATAAACGTTTTTCAGCAATTATAATTGAAATACTGCAAGTCAAACGTACGAAATAATATTCCAAAAATAACATAATCTCGTTATAATATTATTGCGGGATTTCAAATTCAATATTACAAAAATAACTACGGGAAATATTTAAAGTTAAGCATTACTCTCTCCAGCCTAGGATAATGTTTGATATTATATATTCATTTTTTTTTTAATCGAGTTCTAAAGCTATTATTATAACGATGTTATCGAACTGCTGTCTGGTTTCTTGATCAATGGATTATTTCCGTGAATGTCAGTGGTGATTTACTATTTCACTATGTCATTCGTTTCGTGAACCTATCATTAAAATAAACTTTTTATGAGATTTTTGTTTAATGATTTATTTTTAGAACTTCATTATACGTTATAACGATTATATTATAATATTTAGTGTTAAATATCAAACACAATTAAGGTTACTAGTTTCCATTTTTACTCTGACGGTGTTATACTTTTGATGGTGGGTAAGGTGTGACTAATCAGATAATTCTACTTATAAACTGCCGTATAACCGGAGAACGACAGTTTAGTGACGTGGCAATAATCACGACTGGTACGAGACGTTCAACATTTACTTTTTCACAAAAATGTAATAATTTGTGGCAATATTTTACGGGTGAAATATAAATTGGTGACCCTGAAAAGTTGTTGTTATAGAACAATGAAATTTAATGTTGTTTCAAAAAATAGGAAACACTGCGTTGGCTCCTAAACAGAAGCTGAGAGTCGACGAATGTTGATCCGACCATCTTGGAAAAGATTTCCAGTATAGTTAATACACGAGAAAGAAAATAACGCAAAAAAAGGTGTGAGAAATACCGGTTCCTATGATAGAACATGACGACGATGTATAAAATATAGTATACTATAAACACGATGGCATTGAATACACTATTAATAGCCGTTGTGCGGGTATTTACCGTCGATAACAAGACATTTGGTAAAAACATTCTAAAAATAACTCATCAATGAAAAACCTCGAAGCATATCGAGAATACTGGAAAAAAAAGGTGTCACAAAACGTAGAAAATGTAAATTAATGCTGTAAGAACTACATTTCAGAAAATCTGTTTCTGTAGAAATACCCAAACAGGGAATAATAATAATATCTCGACGTAATTAAATATTATTATAAGGTAAATCATTGATGGTTTTAAATAATATTTCATTTGGGATTTTTTTTAAATATAACCGATGGTTTTATTATAAGTTATGTTGCACACTTTTAAGACGGATACAACAAATGCGCGTACGTACAGGTCACCGGCACGACGTCGCGCAGGTGAACTGTAAACAATTTATATTGTAATTTCCATTTGTATTTACTTTTCGTCAATTCAGATAACAACGCGATGAGACTTGTGAAAACTTATTTGAAGCTGTTAATATGACTACTTGTCTATTCAGTTCGATCAGGCAATATTTTAATATTATTATATTTAAATTTCAAATTATCAACATTTAAGATTATGTAAAATATTTAAACACAGTTTATAGGAGTTTATACATTGGAAAATGTGACCCGATCGATCCCAAGTAGACATACCTATTAATGTATTCAAATCAGTTTTCCGAAGTCTAATCAGGTCCATTGCTATTACGATTGACACAAAGTGCATACAAATGAACATATCATTTGCAATTGAGTTTCAACTAAAATCCTTTAACAATGCGGTATTATAAGTTATTTATACAAAATATTAGCTAAGTACGATTAAGACGAGATTTATTTATAAAGTCTGCCTCGTTAAAATTGTAGGTAGAAACGCCGGTGACACCATGCCGTAGCAGAGTCCTAAAACCTTCATATTCGAACAGCCACCGTTCATCGGAAAATCGATCGATTGGAAATCTGCAAACGTTATGGTCTCGGGAAACTCGTGGAGAATTTATCCAAAATATTTTTGTAAATTTTCCACTGGTTTCAGTCATACGACAGACCTTCAAATACGGTTACGAAAACTGGTTGAAAGTGTGGAAATAACGACTTATGGTGGTTTTGTGGTGCTGGGTGGCGATGGAATAATCATTGGCGATCGTTTAGAATTTAGTTAGCTTTCCAAAAAGTTCAAAACCAGATTTTTACCGCCATTTCCCGTTGAGATATTGAGAAAAATGATTGTACAACCGTAGCCCGGAGGACGACGCGAATCACACTGGTTTACTAGTTGGCACGGTGCACTATATATATTTACACATTTTTTAACCCATTTGGTATCACCGCAGTGAACAGTGGAATTATCCATCGTTTTAAATACATACTTGAACAATTTCATCATCAACATGACGGACACCGTTGCTACAACTCCGGCTCCAGTCGCCGCATCGCCGGCCGCGAAGAAGTCTCCTGCCACGAAGAAGTTGTCGGCTTCTAAAGTCAAG